GTAACAATGTTCAAGAGGAAGTGTACTCATTACCTCACTCATGTAACTGTAACCCTCTGTATAGTATCTTTACAATAAAAAAATTTAAAAAAAAAAGAGTCTCACACACTTGTCTGCCCCTGAACTACTTGTCTGGCTCTGAACTATGATCTTCAGATCTTAGATTCCTGAGTAGCTAGGATTACAAGTGTGAGCCACTGGCTCCTGGCTCCACTTCTGTTTTTTTGAGTAATTAAAGGGAAATAAGAATCTTACAGGGACATTTCTGCTGGGGCTACTAGCTTCTAACCATGATCCTGAGATCTCAGCCTCCTGAGTAACTAGGATTGCAAGCATGAGCCACTGGCACCTGGCTCAGGGCAGTTTTTGATTGTGTGAGGTTGGAGGTACACATGCACATGCACATATATGTGTTTCTGGGGCTTGAACTCAGGGCCTGAATGTTGTCCCTAAGATTTTTTGCTCAAAACTAGAACTCTACCACTTGAGCCTCAGTTCTACTTTCTGCTTTCTTGGTAGTTAATTGAAGAGTCTCCTGGACTTCCCTGCCTGGGCAGGCTTCAAACCAAAATCCGCAGATCAAACCAAGTTCCTCCTTTGTGGCTAGGATTATAGGCATGAGCCACTGGTGCCAGGCTCGATGCAGATTTGATTAGCATTTCCCTGATCAACAAGAACATTCAACATTATTTCATGTATTTATTGGCCATTTATATTTCTTCAATTAAAAGACCTACATTCAGTTCATTTACCCATTTACTGACTGGGTTATTTGTTATTTTGTTGTTTACTTATTTTTCTTCAGTTCTTCATGTGTTCTTGATATTAATCACCTGCCTGATAATATCTGGCAAAGATTTTCTCCCATTCTGCAGGCTGTCTTTGTTTATTGTTCTCTTTGCTGTACAGAAGCAAATTTCAGACATTCCCAGTTGTTAAATCCTGTCATTTCCTGAGAGTCCTATTCAGAAAGTCTGCTTATGACTTTCCTAGACGGGCTGGCTTTGAACTTCCATCCTCAGATCTCAGCTTTCTGAACAGCTAGGCTTACAGACAGACATGAGCTGCCAGTGCTCAGCTGTTCTCTTCCTTTTGTTGTCAGATTCTCCCAGGGATTTCTCTGAGCTGGAGGGAAGCCAGAACACTAGTAGTCTCCATAATGTCCTTTAGTTCTCTGAGCAACTCTGGTCGATAGCTTTGGTCACCAGCCTGTGTCTGGCTCCAAGGGACTCCATATTGTCTACAGTGGTACCTCTCATACCATGCCTTTTCCTGAGAACAGCAATTTGCTCCATTTTGATGCAAGTACTGAGCAGAGTGACTGTATTTTGTTTGTGCAATCATACAACTACCTTCTGTCCAGTGCAAACCAGTCTGTCGACTGATAAATTACACAACAAATGAAAGGTCTCCATCTATGAAATTATCAACACATGACACATCACATGTGCTTTTCAAATTTACATTTTAAAAATCCCCAAACGCTTCATCTATTAGAAAAAACATGATGACATTTGCAGAGAAATGGGTGGACCTAGGGGAAAAACATTTTTTTTGGTCAGTTGTGGGGCTTGAACTCTGGGCCTGGGCACTGTCCTTCAGCTTTTCAGCTCAAGGCTAGCACTCTGTCACTTGAGCTACAGCGCCACTTCCGGTTTTCTGAGTGGTTTATTAGAGCTTAGAGTTTCACAGCCTTTCCTGCCTGGGCTGACTTTGAACCGCGATCCTCAGATCTCAGCCTCCTGAGTAGCTAGGATTACAGGCTAGAGCCACCAGCACCTGGCCGGACCTAGAAAAAAATTTAAGTGAAGTAAGTCAAGCTCAGAATGAGCCTGAGTTAACTTATATGTGAAAATTAGAACTAAATTATAAACATACATGATAACATATACAGGGTTATATGTATACATACACAAATTTGACAAAAGGATTATATAGTTAGGGAAGGAGTCCAATGGTATAATCCCTTTGAACAATTAGTGAACCTTTTTTTGGGAGGGGTCAGGTTGTGGGGCCTGAACTCTGGGCCTGGGTACTGTCCCTCAGCTCTTCAGCTCAAGGCTAGTGCGCTACCAGTTGAGCCACAGCGCCACTTTTGGCTTTTTTCTTTTTGCTTATGTGGTGCTGAGGAATCGAACCCAGGACCTCATGCATGAAAGGCAAGCGCTCTACCACTGAGCCACCTTCCCAGTCCCAGTGAACTATTTTTTTAAAAAAGAATACTGAAACATGTTTTAGAGGAGCAACAAAAGAAGGATACACAAATGGAGGGAGGAAGGCTGAGTATATACATTCATTATATTTAATGTATACTATGTAAAAATTGAACTAAGTTGAGAGTAGGGATGGAATGGAAAAAGATGGGGAAAAATGATGGAAGGTGTGACATTGATAAAGATGCATTGTTAGGTGTCTGTGTCTCTGTGTCTGTGTCTGTCTCTGTCTCTGTCTGTCTGTCTGTGTGCCTATGTGTATGCCAGTCCTGGGGCTTGAACTTGGGGCCTGGACACTATCCCTGAGCTTTTGTGCTTAAGGCTAGTGCTTTACTGTTTTGAGCCACAGTGCTATTTCCAGCTTTTGGGTAGTTAATTGGAAATAAGAGTCTCACATCTCAACAGATGCTGGCAGAGATGTGGCCAACTACACTGTTGGTAGAAATGTAAACTGGTTCAACCACTCTGGAAAGCAATATGGAGGTTCCTCGAAACACTAACATAGCGCTCCCCTATGATCCAGCAATCCCACTCCTGGGCATTTACCCAATCACAAGAAAGGCCACACTAAAGCTACCAGCACAACTATGTTCATTGAAGATGAACATCATCTAAGATATGGAACCAACCGAGATGCCCCTCAGTAGATTAATAGATCAAGAAAATGTGGTAGATATACACAGTGGAATTTTGTGCTTCTATCAGAAAGAATGACATCACCCATTTGTAAGGAAATGGAAAGACTTGAAAAAAAATTAAGTGAAATAAGCCAGACCTAAAGACACATAGGCTCCATGGTTTCCCTCATTTGTATTTGTTTGTTTTTGTTTTTTTGGGGGGGTCCAGTCATGGGCCTGAACTCTGGGCCTTGGTGCTGTCCCTCAGCTCTTCAGCTCAAGGCTAGCACTTTACCACTTGAGCCACAGCTCCACTTCCAGCTTTTTTTTCCTGCTTACATGGTGCTAAGGAATGGAACCCAGGGCCTCATGCATGCAAGTGCTCTACCACTGAGCCACCTTCCCAGCCCCTCCCTCATTTGTAATAATTAGCATATGTCTAGGATAGCCCTAACAGAGGATCACAATAGCTCAATAGCTATGTACATATGACTATATAAAATTATTCTAATCAAAATGAACTCTAAAATATGGAAATGAGGGTTTGTTTGTTTGTTTTTTAATGTACCATGTGAAGTTATTTCTTTTTTCTCTCATTTTTTCCCCTTTGGTTTATCCTTTTTTGTCACTGTTTTTTATTTTGGTACCCTATGTCTTTTTTATATGTTTCTCTGATTTGGGGAAGGGAAGGGGAATCACAAAATGGTGAGACAATGCAACAGTGATACTCACAAGACACTATGTTGGAAATGAACTTCACAACTTGGGGGGAAGGTAGTGGTTGGGGAGGAGGGAAAGTGGGAGAAAATGAGGGAGGGGGTAACAGTGTTGGACAAGAAATGTACTCATTACCTTACTTATGTAACTGTAACCCCTCTATACATCACCTTTACAACAAAAGTAAACTAAATTTAAAAAAGAAAAGACTCTCACATCTCAACTCTCTCCTGCCTCCTGCCGCAGCTGGCTTTGAACCATGGTCCTCGTGGCCCAGGCCCATACCGACCAGGCAAATCCCAGGTATGTATGAACTTGTTTGCTGTACTGGCAGAGCAATCCACCTAAACCCAGCTGTAAACATCCCATTGTGGGCCCAATTGAAAAGTCCCCACCTCCCTTGGCCTGGTGGCTTTTTCATTAACTTCTGTCTCCTTGCTCAGACCTCATATAAAAACCCAGCTCCTGTCCAAACTCTCAGGCACAATCTCCAAACCCGCAGGAAGGTCTGTGCCCCTCATGCCCCAGGCATCATGCATGCTAGGCAAGCACTCTACCACTGAGCCACCTTCCCAGGCCCAAGCGCTTTTTCTTTTTTCCAGTACTGGGGCTTAAACTCTGGGCCTGGGCGCTGTCCCCGAGCTACTTTTGCTCAAGGCTAGAAGCTCTACCACTTGAGCCACAGCACCACTAATGATTTTTTCTGGGTAATATGGTACTGAAAAATTGAACCCAGGGCTTTGTGCATGTTAGCAAGCACTCTACCACTAAGCTAACTTCCCAGCTCATATCAGTACTTTTTTGTTTTGTTGGTCTTGGGGCTTGAACTCTGGGCCTGGGCGCTGTCCCCTGAGCTGCTTTTGCTCAAGGATAGGGTTCTACCACTTGAGCCATAGCACCATTTCCGGTTTTCTGGTAGTTTATTGGAGATAAGAGTTTCACGGCCTTTCCTGCCTGGGCTGGCTTTGAACCGTGATCCTCAGATCTCAGCCTCATGAGTAGTTAGGATTAAAGGTGTGAGCCACCAGCACCCAGCATATCTGCACTTTTTAAAAGTTTCCTTGGTGTGTTTCCAAGACCTAGTTCTAGGCTACTCCTAAGGAATATACTTATCACCACTAGATGGCGACAGAGTCCCCAACAAAAGCCTTAGTCCAACCCTTGGGATAAAAATCAATATTCCTCTTTATTTTGAATTTGAGTAAGAACAGGATATCAGCTGCAATTCATAGTCATATAACATTTGCAATATAAAAAGCACCAACTCCAATATTATACTTCTCAGAGCTAATCTGATGTGACAAATACAATATGCTTTAAAAAATAGATTTTTGGGTTGGGAAGGTGGCTCAGTGGTAGAGTGCTTGCCTTGCATGCATGAGGCCCTGAGTTCAATTCCTCAGCACCACAAAAGCAGAAAATGCCGGAAATGGCGCTGTGGCTCAAGTGGTAGAGTGCTAGCCTTGAGCTGAAGAGCTGAGGAACAGCACCCAGGCCCAGAGTTCAGGCCCCAGGACTGGCAAAAAAAAAAAAAAAAAAGATTTTATAGCTAGGTGTCAGTGGCTCACTCCTGTAATCCTAGCTACTTAGGAAGCTGAAATCTGATTATTATGGTTCACATCCAGCCCAGGCAGGAAAGTCTGTGAGACTCTTATCTCCAATAGGAGATACCAAAAAGCCAGGGATGGTGCTGTCGCTCAAAGAGCTAGAGCACTAGTCTTGAGCACAAAAGCTCAGGGACAGTTCCTAGGCCCTGAGTTCAAGCCCCAGGACTGGCGCACAAAAAAAATAAATTCTAGTTATTTCTAATCCTGTCTTTTAAAAAATCACTTTAGGCATAAAAATTGTAAACATTGCTGTAACAAGCATCAATATGCCCATATTTCCCAAGCTGAAAATATAGAATATATTCATAATCTCCTAGGTATGTTTCCCATCTCAAATTTCCTAGCCTGTCTTTTCTATTCTAAAATGTCTAAGTTTACATGTGTGATCATATGTGTATAGGATCTATAACCAGGAGTTTTAAGCCATAGCCCAACAGGAGTTCCAGTATGTCAAGTCCAGTCACTCCCCAGCACACCAAATAGCAATGCTGGGCACAGAAAGGAGCTTCACCACTCACTATAGAATGGCAAAATAAGCATGTCAGCTCATCTTGGGAGAACAGACATAAGCTTTAGGTGTAAAATGAGGAAGATTATAACACAGTCTCAGGTAAAGCATGGCCTGGCAGATCACTGTTCCGGAAGACTCTGCATCAGAGGTCCAGGGTTCAGGAGAAGTTGCTGTTGCTGTAACTTGAGAGAAGCAATCTGATCATGATGACAAAGTCATTGGGAGACAGTGTGTACTTTTTCTTCTTCTTTTTATTAATGTTAAACAGTATGTTGATTTGAAAGTGAAAAGAAAGCCATTAAAAGAATTATGACTCTACCTGGAGAGAAGCTTGAAAGAGGAGACCAAAGAACTCTGAGAGTGGAGGGGTTTTTTTTTGTTACTTTGGGGTTTTTTTTTTGCCAGTCCTGGGTTTGAACTCAGGGCTCAAACACTGTCCCTGAGCCTCTTTGTGCTCAAAGCTAGTACTCTTCCACTTGAGCTACAGCTCTACTTATGGCTTTTTCTGAGTAGTTTATTGGAGACATGAGCTACCTGCTCTTGGCTCAGAAAGTGGCTTTATAGCACATGATTCCTCCCATATCAGTTGTACTCTTGTCATAAGAGATTTATCAATATGTGTGTCCTTCCTGGGTTCCAGAGTGATTGTAGAGGCTCAGAGTTCAGAAGACAGATGTAAGTGCAGACAAGAATGCCAAGCTGTTAGACTTTGCTAACTGATGGAGGGGATGGCTTCAATCATGATACTTTGTATGTAAATGTCACCAAAAAAAAAAATCTCCCTTGAACGACTAATGTATGCTGATCTAAAAGAAAAAGTTCAGATAGCAGTGAATGCTACATTGGGCACACATCCTGTTTGCTAACTGTTGAGTCTGGTGAGTGGTATTCTGTATTGATTCTTGTTTCCCCTGAGAGGGCATCATCTCATCAAAAACTGTGATTGGGCCCAGTACTGGTAACTCATGCTTGTAATCCTAGCTACTCAAGAGGCTGAGATCTGAGGATTTCAGTTAGAAGTCAGCCAGGGCACGAAAGTTCCCAGGAGACTCTTAGCTCCAATTAACCACCAGAAAACTGGAAGTAGGGCTGTGGCTCAAGTGGTAGAACACTAGGCTTGAGCAAAAAACCTTAGGGACAGCACCCAGGCCTGGCGTTCAAGCCCCATGACTGACCAAAACAAAACAAAACCAACAACTGTGATTAGGGCTGAGATTTTACCTTATAAGTTAGCCTATCAAGGTTTCATGGACCCTAGTGCAGAAAGAGTCTCCTGCACTATGAAAGATAATTACTATTCACCATTCATAATAGTGACCATCATAGCAGCAACATTTGAGCCCTGTCCCAGAGACTCAGCACCCAGGGTAAAAGTGGGAAGTGATAGTTGTAACTCAATTGGTTTCCATTACATAAAAGGATCTCAGAATTTGAGGAACCCACATCTCTTATACTAGGCAATAAACATGTTAAAAAAAAAAACAAAAAATGAAACAAACAAAAACCCTGCAATTAGTACTTAAACTACTTTGGGTCCCACAAATTACCTAAAGGCAAGAGAAAATCATGGCCTCCTTACCAAATGTTTTTCCTCTGCATTCTTTGTTCTGAATCCTTCACGTTGCAGCCACCTGTATCCAAAAAGGACCGAACCAATAATACCTTTACATGAAGGGATGGAGAAAATTGCCCCTAAGGAAAGGAGCAGGACACTCTCCACAGGACAGGACTCTGTCCAGGCAACAATGATTTGACCTGACTTCTCAAGTAATGTCAATGACAACAACTCCTGAACCTATGCCAGAGCAAGGACGGAGATAATGACCAACCAGACCACAATGTAACTGGGGCTGTTGAATGCATACCTGTCACTTCCTGCCCTAATTACTTTTCTATGTAAACCCAAGGCTTATGCCTCATCTCTAGCAGAAAAAGATGATGGGTAAAAGCAGATGGCAGAAGGGTGAGTGGGCTGAAGTCATTACTTTGTTTCTTCCTATAGTAGCTTGGGCTTTGTAATACCTGCCTTTGTAATATCTGCCTTTTACTACTACTCATCTCTTTAGTTGTGGTGCTGGAGTCAGTGGCCAGTCCTGACTTAAGGAAACCCAGCATTTGGGGCCTGAGGCCTAAAACTATGGTTTCAAGCTAGCTTTGTTCCCACCTGCCCCACAGAACAGGCACCAAAGGGAGATGCTGTTTCTCCAAAATAATATCCCAAGTGATATGGTGGAGGAAGTAAGGATAGAATATAATATTTGACTTGGATCGTATAAAATGGATAATGAATGATTTTAAGATATAAATGTAACTGTGCTCTCTGTGGCTAAGACTTCCCTGGTAACTAGCTATTGTAGCTTCTGTAACTCTGCTTCTGCTCCTTTCTGAACAATGCTCTTCCCAACCCAGCTGAACCATCACCACCCTTTGTTCTATTCCCCAGCTGCCCACCAGCAAAACCTTGGAGGGAAATTTGAACTTAAGGTGTGAATTTCCTGAAACCATCATTGACTAAAACCACCAACTAACCTCCCCCTTTTCCCGGCAGTAGCCAAAAATGCTTAAAGGCCAACATGGACTGGTGCTCTGGGCCATTTCCTGGGATTCCCGACTTCGGTCCTGCCACGTCAGTACTTTTTGCTCAATAAAATCTTTTACATTTTCACTGCAGACTAAGTGGTCTCACTGCACCTCCCGACTACACCAAGATCCTAAGAAAGATGTCTAGAAACAAAGGCAGCCAGAGCTCCTCTCCACAACACCAGAACTGGTTCTCAACATACTTTAGCCACTAATCATCCTCACTATCATGACTTCTGAATTATATGAGTTTTCAATTAAATAAAGCCTTGGTGAAAATGTGTCTCCTGTCAAATCCAACTCTTTTTGTATTTCCTTACCTTTACATTTAGCCTCAAGGCAAGGTAAAAAGTAAAATTTACATTAGACCTACCCAAGATGTTTCTCCAAGCTGAGAACTTTGCAGTAAATTGCATTTTCCCAACCAAGGCAGGATATTTTACTTTCGCTTCTTTGCTATTGGAAAGAAGAAAAATTAAATCTGTGCAAAGGTGCATAACATAAAATTAAAGGCACATTTAGCTGATTGTGGTGGCACACAACTGTAATAATCCCAGCTAACTTGGGACAGTGAGGCAGTAGGATTGTAAATTGAAGTCAGCCTGAGCTACATAGCAAGACTTTACAAAAAGGAAGGAAAGGAGGAAAGAAGGGAATAAAGGGAAGGGAAAGGGAGGGAAGAAGGGAAAGAACGAAGGAGGGAAGGAGCAACATAATTTATGTTTACCTTGTACCTAGAAAATATTACTTTTTGGATCAATTTCCATTGCCTGGGTTTAGTCAGAGTTGGAACCTTTGTTTTTCTGGGCAGGGTTGTGGATTGTAATGCAAATATGAGGGGTATGGAGAGGGCCTGGAGGAGAGGGGTTGGATCCAAAGAGAATGAAAACCAAGAAAGCTGTATTTAGTGAGAGGTATAAAGGCCACTCTCCAGGAGAGCTAGGAGAGCTCTGCTTTAGAGAATATTCAGATGCCATGCTGTTTAGCCCCAGCAAAGTTTTGCTCCAGAGAATGCTTGTGACTGTTTCCTATCCTAAGCATGTGGTTTTTGTCTTTAAAATCTTGGTACAAGTTACATTCTGGGCTGCAGGTCTTTAAGACAGGAGTCTACCTGTAGTCACTGGCTTTCTAATAAAGACTCCCAGGTTGAACTCTCAAGATGTGGCTTCTCTGTTTCTCGTGAATGAATTCCCATATAACACAAGGATCAGTGGAACTTCTTCCTTTTCTCACTGTGACACCTCATCCTTATTATTCAGGGTGCTTCTCAGTGATTTAACTCTTTATGAACATAGAGCTGTGCATGCTTGGTCTTGGCTGCAAACACAGCTAGCCTGGGGCTATAATATTTCTTTTCAGCTCTGTAAGGAATCCTGCTGGCTCACCTGCACCTGGGAAGTGAGGGAGAGGAAACCATAGGGCGCTGAGCAGGCACTTCAGAAAAGGCTTCTTAGCCTCTGGTACGGGGACAGTCATGTGTAGCATCCTGGTGAAGAGGTAGAGAGCCATGAGACTTGTCCTTACCCCTTATAAAGGTCACCGCCAACACCTATGTAACAAAAGACAGATAAATAAGAGAAAGCATAACAAAGATAGTCTTCAGAAATGAAGACCCCTAAGAGGGGCAGTGGGGGACACTTTTTTATACTTATGTTGCATGGGGAATGGGTAAGTGTGCAGAAATGGGGTTGGACAAAAGGGTCAAAAATAGATGGAGGGAAACCTTAGCAGGGCCTTGTTATTCAGATCCTTCCAGGCCCTACAGGCAACATTGCATGCTGGAAGAGGGGGAAACTTCCTTCAGAACTACTACTATGGCCTACTACTATCAGATGAAGTAGGTCACAGGATTTATTTTTTGGTTTTTCTTTTTTTTGGTGTTTGTGGGACTTGAACTCAGGACCTGAGTGCTGTCCCTGAGCTTTTTACTCAAGGCTAGGGCTCTACACTTTGAGCCACAGTGCCATTTCCGGTTTTCTGGTGTTAATGGACATAAAAGTCTTAGGGACTTTCCTGCTTGGGCTGGCTTCGAACTATGATTCTCAGATCTCAGTCTCCTGAATAGCTAGGAGTATAGGGGTGAGCCACCTGCACCTGACCACCGGATTCCTTTATGATCAGCTCATACACAGAAAGGCAAGGAAGATGAGAGTCAGCTTTCATAGCCAACGTTGAGGGAACAGAAGTTCTAATTTCCTTGGCCTACCTTGTAGGGAAGGAGAGGAAGAGAAAGTGAGGTAGATAATGCTTTTGGTTTCCTTCAGTTCAAAGTACTCAGTATGCCAAAGTAACAAACTCTGAAGTATCATTTTCGGAGTGTTGACATCTCTATAAGGAGGAGCCGTTAGAAGGAGAAAAGAGAAGCATCTGGAAAGCTCACTTCTCTCCACACAGATGCCATCTGTGGAGAAAATGTGCCTTAATGACCAGGCTCCTCCCATATTTCCCAACCCCCTCCTTCTCCATCTTCCTTATACCACTGAGCCTGTGTCATTACCCAGCACCACCTCTTTGAAACTGTCTCTTCTGCTAGCTAAGAGACCACTAGTTTAAAAACAGTAATGAACTAGCAATAAGTGGTATTTTGTATCTGTTTAGTTGTGACTGCCAATGTATTAAAACACTTCAAATGCATTACCATGTTGGGTCTCCATAATAACTTAAATACCTACTATCAAAAGGCAAAGTTACAGCTCACACCTATAATCCTAGCCACTCAGGAGGCTGAGATCTGAGGATCACAGTTCTAATCCAAGCCACACAAGAAAGTCTATGACACTCTTATCTCGAATTAACCACCAAAAAGCCACAAATGGAGCTTTTGCTCAACTGGTTTTCTGGTAGTTAATTGGAGATAAGACTCTCACAGACTTTCCTGCCATGGCTGGCTTAGAATCATGGTCCTCATATATCAGCCTTCTGAATAGCTAGCATTACAGGTGTGAGCCACTAGAACCTGGCTTACTGTACTTTTAAAGGTCTTTATTTTATTTTTTTTAATTTTCTGGCAGTGTGGGGGTTTGCACTCAGGCCTCATACTTCCTAAGTAGGCGCTCTTACCATTCTTTGAACCTTGATTTTTGCTGGTTATTTTTCAGGTAGGTTCTTACTTCCTCTTCAGGTGTAGGCCTGGGTCCTGGGATTCCTAGGAGGGAAGGAATTGAGAAAAGGCTTGCCAGGGGGTTGGCCTTCAACTTCAGTCCCAATAATCTCAACCTCCCAAGTAGCCAGGATTACAGGCCCACGCCACCAGCACTCACTTGTACTTTGGATCTTAAATGTTCCTAAAGGCCATGTATTAAAGGCTGGTTCTCCAGCCTATGGAGCTACTAGTTATGAGACTCTTTAAGAAATAGGACTCTCTCTCTCTCTCTCTCTCTCTCTATATATATATATATATATGTATATATACATATATATATATGTATATATATATATGTATATATACATATGTATATATAGTAGATATATGGACACAACAGAGGGAAGCCAGGAGGAGGAACAGAATAAGTGGGAACAGCCCACGCTAAGCAAAAGGAAAGAATGTAAACATCACCTGATGTGCAAAAAAAAAAAAACTTGTAATGTCAAAGCTCATAGAATTCACAAACTGTGTAGACTATGATAATGACAATTTGCCTTGTGAAAGTTAAAATGTGTTTGTGACTCTTACTAAGTATCACTATTCCACAATACTGTGAAATATGTGAAATTTATGTAATCACCTAAATTTATATAATCACCTAAATTTATGTAATCAATTAAAGAAAAAAAAGTGAGAGAAGGGATGGGTTAAGAGAGATGGGTGACAACATTGTCAGACACTTTGTACTCATATACTGTTTTATAGAATGGGAACTTCTTTGTACAACTACTTAAAGATTAAAAGAAAAGAAGTGGTAGGGCTATGGGTCTGTGGATAGAGCTCAGTGTATAACATTTGCCTAGAAGTAGGGCTTGGTGGTAATCTTCCAGTATTTAGTGGTAGGAATTTTGAGGGGTATTGTGGGACCATGGTCTTTTCTTCCTTCTCTCTTTTCCTTGCCAGCCACAGGAAAGCAGCTTTCCTCTACAGCATCCCTGCCATGATGCTGCCTTGCCACAGGGCCAAAGTCAACAAAGCCAACAGATCCTTCTGAGCAAAGCGAATCCTGTTCTCTCTATTCATCTCAGATATGAAGGACAAATGCTGACTGAAAACACCCATGCCAGTGATGTACAGGAAAAAGAGTTTATGGCCAGCCAAGGCTGACAGCCCCCCGCCCTTCCCTGCCAGGAGAGGGAGAAATGGTGCTTGTCTGTTTCCCAGGGGCAACCTTACCGGATGTCAAGACTTGAGGTGGGAGGTCTCCGTGTGCACAGCTGGTCACTAAAGACAGTGCCTAGGGTGGGAGCTCCTGTGAGAGTTCTCTTTTCTTTGTGAAGGGGCAGGGTGGAGTTCAGGTCTGGGTGGAAGGCATTCTGCTGATGCAGCTGGGGGCTAGAGATACCTGCTGAGGGCCTCTCAAGCCCCAAATGGAAGAGGACATACTAACACTGACTGTCATAGGCCTTTATCAGAGCCAAGCCAAAGCCAGCACCGTGAACTTGAACCTCCAGAACTGTGAGCTAAATCACCTTCTTTCCTACCTTATACACCCACTTCAGCTATTTCTTTATAGCAATGGATTGGGGCAGCCTCTATTCTATAAGAAAGTTAAAACTCGTGA